GGGATAGAACTTGGCCCCACCAACCGTGGCATCCCCCCATCCGCCCCCAGGCCCGTGTCTGCCCGCTGGCATCACTGCCCGCGGCTGGGCATGGGGTTCTGCCCGTGCGGGACCTGGAGCGCTGGGAACCGACCCCCCTGGAGAAGGGGTTCGCCTTCTCTCCGTCTCCATCACCAAGCTGTGATCCAGCAGGGCAGGGACATTGCCAGCGCCCTCCCACCTCACCCCACCCCACCTCGGACGTTGCCCCAGGGGACAAGGGACAAAGCACTCACGTCACACCGTTGATCTCCAGTCCTTCTCCGCGGCGCTGGGCTCCTGTGGGATGGAGGAGGGATGTGCATGGGGAGGGATGTCAGCAGAGGCAGGGTGCTGGGGTGGGGGCCAGCTTTCCCTTGGCCACAGCAGCAACCTTTGGGCCAGTGGGCAGAACCCCACGGAGTCTCCAGGAGCAACTACAGCCCACACATCCCCTCTGCCCTTCCCCATTGCCTGCAGGACGTGATGAGCAGCAGCCAACAACCCTTGTGGTGGCCTGACTGGGACTGAGGGGGAGGGTTCAAGTGACAAACATCCCAAGGAGGTCCCATCACCGTTCTCCTGGGACCCCATGTCCTGGAGCACCTCAACACCACATGCAGGGTCCAAGGCAAGAGTCTGGAGCCACAAAGGGGACACACATCACCATGTCCCTGGGCTTGCCCTTCCCTAGGGATCAGAGGTACCACAGCCATCACCCAAGGTGTACTGAGCCATGGAAGGACCTGTCACCACCTTTCCAGCTCTCTGGAGAATGGTTGCAGCCATCAGCTCTATCCTGCCTGGCTGCCCTGGGCTGCCCTTCTCCATGAAACAGCTCAAACCTTCCAGCCTGGACACCAGAAGGCAAAGAGGGAAACAGTAAAACAGTGGGATCCTTTTTCCTTAGGCTGGCATCCAGCCAGGCACCTTTTCCCAGGGCTCTCCCACGCTGACCCAGTCCCTCCCCATCCCAGCCTGTGCCAAGAGCTCTTGGTATGTGCCATGCCCGTGGAACTCCAGCAGAGCCAGCCCGAGGGGATCCCCCTGGCCTTGAAGCATGCCAGGAATTTTACCCAGGTGTTTGACTCCCTTTTTCTTCCGAGGACTTCGGACTTGACAGGAGTGCCCTCATGCTGGTTTTGTGGGGCGAGTCAAGGCCACTTCTTGGGGCTGCTGACATCACACCAGGGGTGTTTCCCCAGCCCCTTCCACGAAAATCATCTTACCCCAACTGCAGAACCATGTCATGAGTGTGAGTGAAATGCTGGGTGTCTGCTCCCACCACCACCTGCATCGTTTGCTCACTGCTAAGATCCCAGAGGCAGTTTCAGGGAGCAAATCCCCCAAATTGGGGGCCACCAGTGGCCAAGCAAACCATGTCATCACCCTGGAGCTCTCTGGCTCCTCCAGCAAGGTGGTTGGGTGGGAAGATTAGGAGATACCAGGGTGCTGGAGCTTCAGGCAGAGTGAGCTCTCCTCTCTGAGCAGGGAAAACCAACCATTTGGCTTCACAACTCCCTAGATTTCAGGGCAAGAAAGGCTCCTAGAGATACCTCTCCCTGCCTGTTCATTGCTGGCCATGCTGAGGCTGCAGTTTTGGGGACACCATGTGTGGTAGAGCTCCACCAAGTCAAGATTGAAATGGATATCCCCAAAGAGCTCAACCACAGAGGAAAACATCCCTTGCTCGAGGGGCAGCTGGGTCTGCAGCATCCCCTGCTCCCCTTGAAGCACGGGTACCACCAGGGTGGGACCTGTCATGGTGACTCCACGTGCCTCAGACACGGAAAATGGGTGGGAAAAAGCAATCCCCTCCAGCCCAGGGGACCATGTGGGGACAAGGAAGAGGAGGAACGTACCTGCTGCTCCTCGTCCTCTGCTCCAGGCTGTCTCCTGCTGCTGTCGTCTCTCCCCACCTCCTCAGCCTGTTCGTGCAGACTCAGGCTCCCGTGAATATCCGACACTTCATCTGCCGACCCCAGTCCGACCTCCTCCAGGCACATGCCGGCTCCTTCCCGCGCCAGCTCTCCCGGGATGCTGGGACTCGACCCTCCCAGCGCCGGATGGCTCAGGAGCCTCCTCTGGCGGCTCACGCTCCCGGGAGCAGTGCCAGCATCCTGCGGCGAGCCCGCCCTGCCGGACCCCGCGCCCGCTCGACGGCTGTCGCGAGTGCCAGAGCTGGCTGGTGTGTTGGGGGCCGGGGTGTTGGAGAGGCTCTGCTCCACACCTTTGCCGCCCTGGATGTCTCCGTTCTGCAGGCCCCCCGTGGGGACAGTCCCATTGAGGGCCCGCTCCCGCTGGAGCCGGTCGCTGCTGTGCTCCAGCTCCTCCGTGCTCAGCTCCCGGCTGCCGTCGGGCAGGGGGCCGTCCTGCTGCTCTGGGACAGCGGGTTTCTTCCCGATGTGTGTGACGCGAAACCTGGAATGGGGGGCAGGGCAGATCAAAATCCTTCCCCTCCTCTCTCACAGCTGTGTTCCCGGCTTGCCTGTACCTCCAGCCTCGGATCTCCAACATTTCAGACTCAGCACCACCCCTGCTCTAGCAGTGCCCACACTGACTTAACCCCATTTTCCCCTGCATTTTTAGCAAAATAAAGAGAAGGATGCAGAGTCCAATCCAGATGTCAGCTGGTGCAGACCCTCCCAGCTTGTCCTCTTAGCAGCAAGATGGATCACAGCTGCTGGAAATGCTCTGAAACACAGCCTGGGTGACGGTGTGCCCTAAGTGAGGGTAGGGACAGGTTTTGGCAGTGATTTGGGTACAGGGAGTAAAGGCAGCTAAACAACTCAGGAGGAGCTGTTTAGCTAAAATCTGCCAGAGCACACTTTGCACCATCCCCTGGAGTGACAGATGGTACCTGGGTGGTTCACCAAGGTTCCACCATGACCAGGTAACAGCTCAGAGC